TAACAGTCTTAGAATTATTGTTGTTGTAGAGTGTTAATTACTAAACAATGTTTATTGTTGGACCCCTTACAGGCGCCCTGGCGCTCTCGCCGGGGAGCCGGTTGTACTTTCTTTGAAAATGAGGCTCACTCTCAAGCGGTTTGGGGGACCGCCATAACAGGCCCCCCAACAACTACATCGCTCCCGTTTGAGTATTCCTCTTTTTTACTCGGGGCCGGTGCTCTTGCTCGCCGCCGAAAGCAGCCGTCTCAACATCACCAGCACTCCAGTGCGCCTGGCCAGTCGAGCTTGGCGCGGGCATCAATCGTGACAGGACTATCGCGGATGAAGCAGCGGCGGGCGCTTGCGCGCCGGCGCCCGACGTCGCGCCCTGCGCCGGGCAGGGCTCTCTATCACAGAGGACGTCCGCGCTCCGCGCCGCCTTGCAGGGCCTCGGACGCCAACGGTGGCCGAAAGGGGAACTCGCGACCTGGCCCGCTTGCAGCTCCGATTGCGGCGCAGCTGCTGCGCGCGAGGGCGCGCGCCAGATGGCCCGCGCGTCAGCCGACCCACTAAGACTGGGCTGTCGAAGCCGATCATCATGATGGACTGCGCCTTCCTGGGCGATCTGGGCGCCAGCGATGTCCTGCGCTGCGCCGTCCGTTCGGCGACGCGCTGGGCGTGGGGCGCGGCGTCGCGGCCCCCGTCGGCGCGACGTCGACGGCCCGACCGAGTGCGCCATCGAGCCTTGCGCCGAGAACGGCCGTTGTCCACGCTTCGCGAATGCCCGCCAGCCCAGTCAGAAGCGGCGCCCACGAGGGCTGACGGAACATGGCAAGCAGAGATGCATATAGCGAAACAAAGCGGTCAAAGAGGACGGAGAGGAAGGCGTTGAGCCATGCTGGAGGCTATCTTGGAGCATCGGGTCTCCTGTGGATTTGTTGGGGCTTGTCGGGGCCCCATTGAGGCTCCTTGGGAGGTCTTGGGGCCCCTCGTGGAGCTCCCTCGGGGCTCTCTCGAGGCTCTCTCGGCGCCCTCATGGCAGCGATGGGGCGCCTCCCAGGGCCATCTTGGAGACCGTCGATCGAAAGAGGGGGGGTCGTATCGTTTGGCGCCCGACCCGGGGCCATCGAAAGAAATAGCCTTTCGGGGCGTTTCCGCGGCCCTCTGGGGGCGATATTGGGCGTTCTCGGGGCCGCCCAAGGGCCCCCCAGGTTTTTTTCGGAGCTGTCTCAGGCTATTTTGGGGCCGCCTTGAGTCCTTGGAAGCGCATCGGAAGCGAAAAAAAGGCGACACGGCCAAACTCATTTGTTATCCACAGGTTCTACAAGGGCGTTAGCTGCCCGGGGGGTCCTGGGGGGTCTCCAAGCGCATTTGGATGCGTCTCGCGGCCTTCTGGGGGCTTCTTGGAGGCATGTTGTTAGCTATCTTGAACCATGATGGGCTATCTTGATAGCTATCTTGAGCCATGATGGGCTATCTTGAGGGATCAGGAAGGCCGTCTAGGGGGGCTCTCTGAGGCCCCCTTCGAGCCGCCTCAGGCCATCAGGGACGCCATGACCGCTCGCGACCACCCCCCGCCCAGGTCCAGGGGGGGGCGCGGGGGCGGGCATGTTCCTCCGAAGGGGAAGAAAGGGTTCTTCTGGAAGAGGAAAGAAAGATCTCGTTGGACCGCCTGTCGCCCAGAGGGCTGGCGGGATCATTCGGGCAGGCGGGGGATCTCGCCTGGGGTCGACGGCGAGCTTTCGATCGGAACGCTGGCCGAGACAACCAGGACGGCTCGACATGCGCTCGCCGCATCGATGTGAAGACCAGGTACTCGCCGCAGTTCATGGCTTCAGTCGAGAATTTTAACGTAGAAATGGCGAGTTTGCCCAGGGCGTGCACTGTCTGGCTGACGGCCTCAGTGAAGCTCGATATCAGGATCGCTTCCTCATTCTTCGACTGGCCCGCGCAGCAGCGCGGCTCGCTGACTCCGAGCTTCCGGGGAGGGCGCGAGCGACGGATGGGGTTGGCAATATGGCGCGAAATTGGCGATGTTCTGACAGGCAGTTCGGCGCGAGCGTTCGCATTCGATTGACGCGACCTCTCCTGGCGGGCGGCGGGCCTCGGCGACGCGGCTCGGCATGGCCCGCAAGAGGGGCGGGCGCATCTCTGGCACTCAGAGAAAGGAGCTTGCACGCGCGCGAGCAGTGCTCCGAAAAGGCCAAACAACCGGTGGAAAACGATGCTGGCCGAGAGCGTCCTCGTCGCACTTCTGAAGCCAAGGCTGCGCTGGCATCTTCGGCCGCGCGACCTGGCAGGTGCATCTCTGAGAGACTGGTCGAGATGCGCGGACAGGGCCCAGAATGTTCTGGTCGCGGGGGGCGGGGGGAACGCCTGCGCACCGCTGCCCGATGCGCAGACGTGGTTCGCGGCGATCCATGACCGGAGGGCGCCGCGTGTCAGGGCGGCTCCAGCCCTGACGCCCGCTGGCCCGCCTGGCGGGCCCTCTGCGACAGGGCCAGCGGCGCCGGCGCCAGCGGCGCCCCCCAAGGGAGTTCAGGATTCAGCGAGCGGTGGCGACGCGCCCATGGAGCCAGCGCGCGCCGGCAGCAGCGGCAGCTGCGCAGCCGGCGCGCGAGCCTGGCCTCGGAAATCCAGGGGCAGCTGCAGCGGGCGCAGGCGACCCCCGCATGGGCGAAGCGACCCAGCTGCCGCAACTCCGCGAGCGTCGGGATTGCTTCGAGCGCCCAGCACCTGAGGGCGGGCCGCCAGGCAGCCGACCGAGGGCGATTGGGGCCCCGCGTTGTTTTTTCTGGCGAGTCCGATTTGTCAGCTAGGAGCCAGAAAGGGCCTGCGCCCATCCAAGACGAAGCCACGCGCGACGTTGGGCACGAGCCCGCGCGCGACCTCGAGGGCGACGGCGAGCTCGACCCCGCGCCGGCGCGCGCTGGGCTGGCCGAGGAGCCCAGGCCCATGGCGGTGCGCGGCGCGCCCCGCGGGCTGCTTGCCAGGGGTGCCCGAGGCAGGGATGCGCTTGGCACGTGGCCGGTCACATCCGACGGCTGCAAGGTAGCCAGCAAGAAGGTGTCCAGCTCGACGGGGGCGGTGCGATGGCGGTCAGACTGCGCCATGCGGCTCTGGAGTTCAACGCGCTCGATCGAGTTGAAGCGCGCCAAGCTGCGATCTGCAGGGCGGCCTGCGTCGCCAGCGGGGGCGGCGAGTTCAAGCGGCCGCGTGCCATCCGCGACGCGCAGGGGCGCTTCTCGGCACGCAGACTCGACGAAGGGCGCGCCGACTGCACTGATGCTACCCAGGACAAAGGCTATCGCGGGCAAGTGATCAAGGCCATGCGTGGCATCAGTCAGGAAGGTAGCTTAGCCCTTCCAGGACGTCACGATCGCAGCACGCGGTCAAGCCCATGATCAAGAATCCAAGGTTTGCAGATGGGGCCTCTACAACGAGCGTTTCGACTTCATGGGCGCCCTGCGCGGCGACGACGGCCTCGCAGAAGAAATGGGGGGGGCGCGCGCATCCTCAAGCGCCGTGCGCGGTTGAAGCTTCTTGGGCGCGCTGGGCTTGGCGTGGGGCTCGAGGTCAAGTGGCTCAGGGGGCGGTATTTTCATTCGAGGGCGTCGGGCGCGAGTGGATCCAGGGCCCCGCGCGCACCCGAGACATCCTTGTAGGGAGGCGGGCAGGACCCAATATCGCCATCCTTCGAAACACGCTTCCCCAAAAAAATACATTTTGAGACGCTACATGCATGTCCAACTCGATTCTAAGGGTAGTTCTGGACGGCAGCTTTCGCCGCACAGCCTCTTAATGATACAGTTGTCACATCGCGCCGCCAGGGAACAAATTGTTGAGTATAACCACGGGGGGAAACCCCGACATTCGCAACCTCCGTTTAGTAAAAAGGCCCTGGGCATATTCTAGACAGCCCTGCGCTGTTCGATTCAATTTTGGGCGCGCTTGCCAAAAAGGGCTTAGCTTGTCGGGCTGCTTATTATGAGGGTGGTTCTCTTGCCCTCCACTGAAGTCACCACCCACCAAACCACCCAAACCCAACGAGAAGGCCCCACCTTGCCCGCCATTCCCAGCGGGGGGCGTCGGAGAAAATGGGACCCCCCCCAAAAAAAAACAGATGAACGACACAGAAAATTTAGTTTTCGCCGACAGTGGCGCGCAAGCTGGCCGCGCAAGGTCGCGCGCAAGCGCCTTCGGCTCCACTGCAGCGTGCCGCGCTCGCGGCCCTTCTGGGCCACCGCGTAAGGTCGCCACGTCATCTCGCGTGAACCCCGTCCTTGCTCGTCGCTCGTATGGAACCCGTACCGCCCCCAACCCGAAATCTGGTTCTTCGGGTTCGGCTGGGATGGCCTGGCAGGTATTCAGGTCCTTCTGCCCTCCCAAAGAACCGGGGGCCGCCGCGTCGCCCTGGCTGACGAGGGGGGGCCGCTCCCTCGGCCCCGCATCCGTGGCGGGCCGGCCCGTGGCGCCCCGCCGCTGGGCTTGCCGGCCGCGGGATGCCTGGGGAGGACTGAGCCCCCGGCCGCTGCCTGGCGGCGGCGCCCGCCGAGCGCGGCGGCGCGATGGGCTCGGACTCGGAGCCCTCGTCCGGCGCCGAGGAGGAGGAGGAGGCTTCCGCTTCCGACGCCTCCTCGGACGCGCAGGAGTCCGCGGCAAGTCCTGGGCATCCCAGGCGGGGTCCAGGCGGGGTCGGAGGATCGCGGGGCCGCATCGCTGACGTCGCCGGTACATCGGAGGTGTCTCGTCGACGCGGCGCGATCGACCCCATCTATTCGGACCCCACAGGGAAAGCCTCTAGCAACGTCGGGGGGCGACAGGCTCAGGGGGGGAGTTCATCGATCGGTCCCCACCCGCCGACCGATCGCCGACAGGGGCCTGATGGTCCACCCCCGGCAAGGAACGTGCGGATTCGCTATCAGGGGCCTATCGCCGATCTATCGGCGATGTATCGTCGATTCCAGGTCGATGTTTCCCCCCTGAGGTGGTCCCTCCCCTTGGCGTTCCCCCCGAAGGAGGACAGGAAGGGGCGCGACAACAAGAAGGCGAAAAGGGGCGGCAAGAAGGAGCCGCAGTGGCGAAGGGTCCGCCACAGAAGTGTATGATGTCACGGACCCCCCGCCCCCCAAAGAGGCTTGTTTCTGGGCCTCACAGCGGGGTGGCGGTGTATAGGTCGCTGTTGATTACGAGCCAGCAGCGGCTTTTGGCACCGCCGCGCTCCAAGAAGGTACCAGAGGAACTCACTGGCAGGTGTCCCTAGACTTTGGTCGTGTGAAAAAGGTCCTGGAGGGATGGGGTCCTGGATCCGAGGCGTGGATGTATCCATAACTTTCAGCCGGGCCTGTCCCTCTACATGGGGAATGTTCAAGAATAGTCCAGAACTAGTATGGGAACGACTTTTTGAATCTTTGTTGAATGTGCTTTGACTATAGATAATGTTTCGCCCAAAATCCGCCTGTAGGGGGACGTGCCCGACCTGACCATAACCGCCGCCTGGGGGTCGAGTTTCGGGGGCCTCGGCGGGCAGTGGCTACGGATAGATTCGCACCTTGGGGGGGGGGGCAAACATATCCGTGCCCACCGCCTGCCGAAGACCCCGCAGCTCGATCCCCCACACATTGTGCACAAATCCCTGCCATTGCCATGGAGGTCTTCCGCAGTTTTCGGCCCCTGTGGGGCCCTCTCCTGGTTCCCGGGGCGGTCAAGAAACGGCTCGGGATGGGGAACGTGTCCCCAGGAAAGCCTCCCCTTGGTCCAGGATCCGCTTCTGCCAAGATGCCCTCTAGCTCGTTTCCAGGCCTCCTGGACGGGGTCCGAGTAGATGGGGTCGGAGGATCGCGCCGCATTGCCAATGCCTCGCCGACGCGCTCGATGCGGAGCCCAATTTTCCCCACGCCGACGTCACGCCGACGTCGCCGACTCATCCCCGGCGCATCGCAGACGTCGCGGGTGCTTCGCCGATGCATCGGCGATGCGGTGCGATCCTCCGACCCCTTTTACTCGGACCCCTTCTAGGAGGCCTCGCCTCTGCTCGTGCCTTCCGCTGACTGCCCCTCTTGCCCCCGGCCTTCATGGCTTCCTCCCTGCCCTGGCCTGTGCCTGTGTCGCGCCGACGCCTCGTGTGACGCTCCCAGCTCGCCCTGCGGTCTTCAGTCTCACGTCCTGGAACCAGTGGTGCGGCCCAGATCCGACGTCGCGAAAAAATAGCATCCCCATAGCCTCTCGCGTCGTTAACAAAAACATGGCCGAAGGTTTTTGGCTACTTATTGTCAGAGTCTGGGGGCCTCGCCTGGACCCAGGACCGTCAGAAAACGCCTCGAGTTGACGAGCCGGTCCGAGGTCGAGATTTCCAGGGGGCACGTCGCGACCAAACAAGCGTGACGCCGAGGATCTGGGTCGTGGGGCGTCACGACCGGAGCCCTGAACCCATCTCCGCGTGGCATTTCTCGAGCCGCGCCGATCTGTGAGGGCACCCGGGCCCGAGACTGGGCGAAAGTGCCCGGCATGGAAAACCTGCGATTCCTGGATCCCTCGGATGGTTGCGATGCAGACCCAGGCATGCGATGCTCAGATTTGCCTCGTACGGGGTGCCCGGGAGCCCCGAGGCCTTCCCTCTAGGCCTCCTAGATGGGGTCCGAGTAGATGGAGTCGGAGGATCGCGCCGCATCGTCGATGCGTCAGCGATGCGGCTCAATGCGGATCCCGATTTCCTCCACGCTGGCGTCGCCGATGCATCGCCGGTGTCGCCGATGCATCGCCGATGCATCGGCGATGTATCGCCGATGTATCGGCGATACGGCGCGATCCTCCGACCCCATCTACTCCGACCCCATCCAGGAGGCCTCTACTCCCCAGGGCCAGCTCTTCATTCCGTGCCGCCCTTTCGACGGCCCCAGGAGGCGCGAGGGCCGCCCGAGACAGACAGCGGCCGAACACAGTCCGTCGGGGCTGCGGCCGACGACGTCGACGTCGTCGTCGACGTCGACGTCGACGTCGACGTTGACGTTGACGTCGTCGACGTCGTCGTCGTGATGTTCTCTTTCTGAGCTCCGCGCGGGCGGTTCTGCGCTGAAGCCCTCTGGCGGCGGCGCCTCCCGCGCTCCCCCTGGCGCGCGCCGTGCGCTAGGGGCGGGGGCCCAGCGCATATGCAGGAAGTCATCGCGGATCTCTTGAGTAGGGCTGCGGGTCGGAGAGCTCCTTCCTCCGCAGGATCACCAAGAAAGGGACGTCACGGTGGTCAAACGCCTCGCCGATTCAGCCGACGAAGATGTGCAAAATCCAGCCCTTGCCTACCTGTCCAAAGTTTTGGCTTGACGCCGGGTGTGGTGCAGCAATCTCAGCTCGACCGAATAGGTTGGTTGCGCCCCTTGACGTCCGTTTGGGGTGTTCTGCAGACCTGACCCCCCAGCCCTACTCACGGATCTCCGACAGTTAAGTCAATGCGCATATCTCCTTTTCCTCTCAAAGAAGAAAATTCGTACCCGAGGACCGAGAGGACAAGAGGTCTTCGAAGAAGGCCGCGGGCGCCAGGGAGAGGCAGAAGAAGACGAGGCTTGGGGGTCGAAGGTGTAACATAAGCTATTCCGCCGCCAGGGACGCTTGCCCCTTGGGCGGCTGCAAAGTTTCTGCCCTTGCGGCGCAACGTAGGGGTATCAATTTCCAGCTGCCTGGGGGGCAGGCGTCTCCGACGGCGGAACAGTTGATTTTATACCATTCTTCGCCTGCTACGAGGCGGCGCTCCAAACGCAGGCAGTCCTCCTCCGACTCTGAGGCCGCCGCCAGCGGCGACAGCGGGTCGAACGAAAGGAGGGGATAGGGAAAGGGGGGGGGTGCGAAATCTGCCGCATGCAGCTGGTTTCGGTCCCGCCGCCTGGCCCATTCCTCGATACGTGGGCGCCTCCCGGTGCCAGGAGGCGCAAGGAAAACCAGCTATCCTACCCTTTGCTGTCCTACCCTGTCCTTTTCGCTATCCTCTGCTAGCCTGTCCTCTGCCATACCCTGAGCTGCTTCTCTACCCCGCCCTCTGCGACTCTGCCCTCTTGCCCCCCCGGAGGCGACAGCGGGTCCTCCTCCGCGGAGCCCGAGGAGCCAGCGGGGCGCGCCGGCGGGCCACCACGCGGGCCCTGGCCAGGCCGATGCTCTGGGCTCGGGGTCGGTGTGCCCAGATCGGCGGCGACGACAGGGGCGAACAGCCCAGGGGCGGGCATTACGCGCATTCGCCCGGGAGCCTTTCCGAAGACATAAATCATCGGCGCACCTGAGTACATGTGTTGCTCTCCCCTGGGCTACTCGCCCCTATCGTCGCCCCTGATCAGAACTCCGACGATCCGATTTTCGGCGGCGAGCGAGCGGGGCAAGTCCCGGACCCCTCCCGGTGTCCATCTGGTGCAGTTGTTTCGGCGCGAACTTCTGGGGGGTCGACAGATGATAGATGGGGAGGGAGAGAACAGCCCTTGGGGGGCCCTTACGTGCCCCTTCGGAGTCCCAAAGGGCTCCTTCAGGGGCCCTTTCGGGCCCCTTGTCTGCAGCCCTTTCGGGCCCCTTGTCATGGCGGCCCGAGTTTTTCACCCTGGATCTGTTTTTGACGGTTCTGGAGCCCGAACACGGCCCCCCGAGGCAGACTTCATGTTGGACGGAGCCAGTGGTGGGCAACAGAGCCCCTGCCGGCTCCAAGGGGGCGGCCGGTCTTCAAATTGTGGCTCTCGCCTCTCGGCGGCGAGCGAGGGGGGAAGTGAGAAGGAGAAGGCCTTCTCAGAAGGCGGGTCTTGCGTGTCTTCGGAGAAAGCTCAGGAAATTTCTCACACGGCCTGGAAACTTCCGAGCCTGCTGAGAGGGCCTTCTCCTTCTCACTTCCCGCGGGGTTCACCGCCGAGACTTTTTGATCAAAACATCGCATCGGTTCAATTCTGAAGAATTCTGAAGAAGAACGCAGCGATTCAACTTGGAATCGCTGCGTGTTTCCCTCCTTGCCTCTGGGGCCCGTCATCGGGCCCCAGGAGCATCAACAGAAACCGATCTGGGACGGACACCTGCCCCCGGGGAAGCGGTCGGGACTTCTAAGGCTGCGGTTGAAGCGATCAGATCAGCGGATGTCTGGGCGCATGCCTTCCTGGCCGAGCCAGGAGGGCGTATCCAGACATCCGGCGCTCTGGTGTTCTCGGTGCGCGGGCTCCCAGGCCTCTCGACCCCTTCCCTCGGGGGGCCGGCCCTGCATCCTGGGCCGTCTTCTGACGGCCCCGGGGGCCGAAGCCGGCCTCCAGGGGGCCACGAACGGCAACCGGCCGGCCGCCTCGCTTCTTCCGGAGCGCCGGATGCGCCGGTGCCGGGCCCGGGAAGGGCCTGGCAAGGATCGGCGAGGTGGTCAGCCGGCGCTCCCCGGCAGGAGGCGAAGGCGGCCGCCGAGCGCGCCGTGCAGGAGGCCCAGCCGCCCTTGGCTGCTCCGCCGCCGCCTCCGCCGCCTCCGTTGCCGCTGCTGCTTCTCCTCCCTTCCCCCTCCTCCTCCTCCATCTCCTCCTCCTCCTCCTCCTCCTCCTCCTCCTCCTCCTCCTCCTCCTGCTCCTCCTCCTCCTCCTTCTCTCTGGTTGACCCAAAAGGGGGTTCAGATACAAGGGGGTGGTGCAGTAGATCTGGTGCAGTAGATTTGTGGGTTGCAATAGATTTGGAGCGTGCAATACATTCCAGGGCGCAAATATATTGTTGGATTTTCGCGTGCAATACATTAGTTGCAATACAATGCAGTACAATTCCCCGGCGCAATACATTTGCAATACAATTGCCCCAAATCTATTGCATCACCCCCTTTTAGCTGGACACTCCTACACTCCTCCTTCTCCTCCTCCTCCTCCTCCTCCTTGCCGAGGCTCCAGCGCCAAAGTAGGAGGGAAACCATCACAGATACACTAATAATCGTCGATGCCCCGGAAAAGGGAAAATATGGGAAGTTGAGGGAAGACGAACGTCCAGAAAAAGTTGAATATAAAGGGAATCCTGGGATTTATTTCTATTTCATTGTGTGTCCCTGGGCCCCTTCACCAAAGCTGAGGCCTGATGTGGACGGGCGGGCTTCCTGGCGGATCGCGCCCAACTCAGGCGCTAATCTCGTCTTGTGCCATCATCCTCCTCCCCCTCCCCGCCCTCCTCCTCCTTCTCCCGCGTTCGGCCTCCTGGTGGGCGACCTTGACAGGGTCAGGGCCTGCGGCGAGGACGCCAGGAAGGCCCCCCAGGGTCCCGAGGATGTCTCGGATTCGGAGGGCGAGGAAGTGTTCTAGTTTGTCATTGACTTCCATACCGCTCAACTTGACGCTATACCTTTCGAGTTATGGAGTCCGGTCGGTGTTCCAGAGCTCGGACCTGTAGGGGTAGAGATCGCTTGTTAGCGATGGATGGAGTTGGGCCGACTGCGCGGACATTCGCGCATAAGCGCCCTCTTTTCCACGCGGAGTGCCACACTAGCGGCCCGCCTAAGCCGCGGCGTAAGGTCGGTTCGTTTTCTCGCGTAAGACCGTAAGACTAGTTGTGGTTTTTGTTGCCCACATGTGGTTTGCCCATCCGCCTCATCCTCCAAGCCTCAGAAGGGGAAAATAACCGCAAATCCACATAGACGGAGCCTTCTTGCCTCTTTTTTGAGTTGGTTTTCCCATCCGTCTCGCACTCCAGGGCCCCCGAGACGCCGAGGCGCCCACGGCCGGCCGACGCAACCCTTTCGTCGCCGCCGACGCAGCCGTGCTGGGCGCCGACGTTGCTGCGTCGGCCGCCGATGCCGCCCTCCCCTCCGACCCCAGGAATTCGGAGGCTAATGCAAAACGCCTACCCTGCCAAGTTGGAGTCGGCTGGGGGTCCGAGGTGGCCCTTCGGAGGGGGGACAAGCGGCGCCCTCGTGTTCTCAGCTTGCAGACCCAGCCCGCGGCCAGCATCGCCTTGGCCCGTCCAGCACGACTGGAGCCCCGCAGGGGGCGTGGCGGGGGGGGGGGCGTATCTCGAGGTCGGGTGTTGCCAATGATTCGGCGGCGGAATCCGAGCCCCCGCAGATCAACGACTCGGGCAACTCGATGGGCGGCGCGGGTAGGCTCGGAGTTTGTGGGGCACGCGGCTCGATCCGAGAGCTACCCTGTCCTATCGATTTTCAGGAACATCGATGGTTTGGGGGGAAGGGGCTCGGACGTCGCCCACCTACGTAAACCGAGACACACAGAGGTTGGTGCAACGCCCACCCTGCCAAGTCGACTGGCGAATGGTTTGTGCTTCGGTGTCCCGGAGGGCGCTGTGGCCGCAACATGTTTCCCGCGGGCCTGCGCCCGCCGGGCCGGGCCCTCGGCCGCTTCCGCTCGGGAGGTGTACTGCTGCAGGGCCTCTTGCCTACTCCCGAGACGTCCCCTTCGGAGGCCTAGAGGTTGACACCAACACCAATATCGGCGGTGTGCCTCCACCGAGGGATGAAGATCCCAATGTCGGTGATGGTGGTAATATTCTGGCTTCCAAGGTGACCGAAATATTGCCACCACCACCGAAATCTAGGATCATCTTCCCCCCGTGGAGGCAGCCCCCTGTGTTGGTGTTGGTGCCCATTTCCAGGCCTCCAACCCCTGACCTTCTCGCGCCGTGAAAGAATGCGACTGGAAGGTTCTCAGCTGCCTTGCGCTTCCAGAGGCCCTTGCCGTGCGCCAGGGACGTAAAGAGGTGACCAGGATGACAGGTGGGTCCCAAGGAAGGGGCCCAGATCTATCGGAGAATTATGTTGTGGAACATGTCATCAGAGGACGTGTTTTTGTTGTCGGTCGCGGCGGTCGGGATTTCTAGGGACATGGTCGGCGTATACAATTAGGGAACGGCCCCCTCTCCCCCGAAATTCAAAGTTGGCACGTCGGGGGACGACCGTGGCGAAGCGCAAATCAGGCTTCCCCGCCAACATGGACCATGCGGGAAGGGAGAATCTGATGTGGCGCGAGTGTTCGCGATTCTCCTGTAGGGGTTCACAGCTCCATGTATCACATCGTCGGCGGTCCGCGAGCACCTAGCGTTCCGAACCTCTTGCTGCAGGGGCCCCCGAATCTCTCGACCCCTTTCTCGGGCCGGCTCTTCCACCCAGGGCCGTCGCCTCAGGGGGCCCCAGGAGGCCCCCCAGAGGCACACCAGCCGCCCCAGTGCCTTCTCGCAGCACTGGGCGTGCGGATTCCGCCGGGAAGGACGCGCGGTCCCCGAGGGGAGTGGGTCGCGAGGGTTTCGCCGTTCTCCGCCTCCCGGGGCCCTCCACAGGCCGCGGGACCGTCGAGCACGGCCCAGGGCCCAGGACTCGTATCCCTCAGGATCCGCTTCTTTCACAGGCGAGCGCAAGCATGGATCAAGGGGGCGTGGATTAGCGACACGGGTCCCGTTTCTATGGGAAATCGCGGATTTCCGCCGCCGAACGAGGCGGCACCGGCCGCATTTTGCGGAGGGCACCTCCCCCGATCCATGGATTTGGCGACCGCGCGCCAAATCCACGGATCGTTAATCCATGTTTGCGCGCCCCCGAGTCTTGCATGCTGAGGATTCTGGGATGTTGGGTGGCCGTCGGGTCACAGCCGGGGCCTCCGACGGCCGTTCGGGCCGCGCCCGGGCACTCCCAGAGCGCTCGGCGAGGCGCAGCTGCTGGAGAGCGCCCCGAGCCTGGGGAACTTGCTGGGAATCGACGGATCCAGGGATCGAGGTGGGTCGAGGAGGAACGAGGCGGCGGAGGAGGAGGAGGAGGAGGAGGAGGAGGAGGATCGCGGATGATGAGGAGGAGGAGGAGGAGGAGGAGGAGGAGGAAGATCGAGGATGAGGAAGAGGAAGGTCGAGCAGAGGGAGAAGAGTCGAGGATGGTCGTGGGTCGGGGGACACGGCCGACGCCCTCGCGTGCGCGCGGCGGCGCTGCCGCTGCCGCTGCGCGTGGGAGCGCCTTCGCACCCCAGGCGCGCACGAAGGCCAACGCGGACGTCGCGGCCGCCGTGCGCGAGGCGGAGGCCGCGGCGCAGAAGGAGGCGCGCGGGGCCTCCGCTCGGGCGGGGGGGCTCAGTCAGGGACAACCACGGGGGGGCTTCGAGGTTGTGCGGTTCGAGGGGTCGTTGTGGTAGCAGCGTGGAAATGCAGCGGCATTCGCGCCTCGACGTTCCATGTGAAGCAGCGGCGAGATCATTGTTCCTCACCCTTGGGAGGAGCCACTCCTGATCGGCCGAGGCCGTGCGAACAATCCACTGTCAAACCGCCTTTCTCCGAGGTTCGAGGTTCCCAGATCTCCAGTGAGATAATGTTTCAATCTGGGCGTGTTTTCCACATCTCAGCCTCTGAGACCAAGTCTTTGGGGCAAGGTCTACCAAGAACAGGTCTGTGGGCCGAAGAGCTACCCCCGGGGAGCGGTCTAGACTTCTGCGGACAGACCAAAACTTAGATCGGTGGATGTCAACGGAAAGCGGGGCTCCGAGGCTCGAGGTTCGAGTTCTTCCCGGCAGGGAGGAGACTGGCAATGGCACGCCGGCGTTGGGATCCCGTCAGCGTGTGACTCCGTCGTTGTTGCTCGAAGGCCTGGCGTTTCCAACAGCAGCACGCTGATGCGCTCCCACGGCCTTCTCATTGGTCCTGCTTTTGCTGCCCGAGCTCTCGCACGTGTTCGTCGGTTGTCGGCCTCCTTCCAGCCCCGAGACGTGTTTCCGCAGCTGCGCCTCGCCGAGGGCGTTCCAGAGGGTCCTGGATCGTCACGAGCCCCTCCCGGAGACCCGGGTTATGACTCGGAAGCCGAGTGGCCCTTCGCCCGTGTGACCTTCGGTGCGGACTGCAGCGGGGGCGGGGGGGGCCTGGCTCAGGGGGGGCGCATCAGCTCCCAACCACCCATTCCTCACTGGACCACTTGGCATCGCTCGGACGTGTGTATTTTTTTCTCGGCGAGGACCATCGAGGATCATCCTGGACCATCGAGCAAAAAAACACGCACGAAACCGACAAATGCAACGGAAATGGACGTCCGAGCGACGGCAAGACCAGGAACGGTGGGGTTGGCCATCGGGGCCTTGTCGCCGATCTATCGGCAGGGTATCGCCGATCGCCAAGTCTGCGTTGGTCCCTGTGCGCCAGTTCCTCCTTCTCGTTCCTCCTCATTCGGGGAGCTTTCGCGATGACTTCGAGGGTCTAAGGCCTCGAGCATGCTGGACGCTTCTGGCCCCTGGGGGCCTCTGGGAACCTCTGGGGACCTCCGGGGGCCTCTTGGGGCCCCCAGTGGCCTCCTGGCGACGTCCGTCGTCATTCTCGTCGGAGCGGGACGAGAAGGAGGAGGAGAAAATGGAGGAGGAGGAGGAGGATTGAAGGAGGATCATAGGGTTCCCTTCGGGGATCAGAGGACTCCCTTCGAGAATCACTGGATTTTCTTCAGGGATCGCGGACCCCCATGGGAGGCCATCCGCTAGCATTGGAACGGTACATCGACGACTAGCGTGGCCCTTGCGCAAGGATTACACGCACATTTCGAGGAGGGTTCTTGTTCAGCGACGTGCCAAGGAGGAGGATGGTCAGGGTAAACAAAGGATGCGACATCGACGATGTTGCAGTGCCTTCCCGTTCCGAGCCGCCTCCTCATCAGTCCTGATTTGTATTCTTTGTCAAACAAGGGTGCGCCCTAATTGCAGACGAATGCCCTCTGGGCTTGCGATTCAGGCAATAGCCCCGTTCGAACACGGTTTGCTTCCACCTTCGTGGTTTTGGGGCACGTCAAGATGTAGGATCATAGCAGTTTCAGGATGTGTTAAGTGAGCGGAGCACTCGTGCCGACGTGTAGTAAGCTTTGGGCCATCAGGTCGGAGGAAGCTTCAAGCGAGCCGCTCTCCGTCCGTGGAGCTGTTGTGGAGGCGCGCGTGCCGTGGCAGGCAGCTGGAGGCAGCATCCCGCGGGAGCCCCCCTCTGGCAGGGTGCCGCCCTCCCTCCGGTCAGTTTGGCGCTGTTCACGGCGATTGTGCGCGGTGCCAAAGGCGGCAGCCACGTTCTTCGAGACCGACTTATCCTCCATCCGCTCGGTTGGCAATGGTGGACACGAATGTGCGATGCGCTAGGGCGAGAGCCACATGCCTTTTGGTTGGCGCTTCGCTGATGCCGGCAAGTCCATCCAGAAACGATCGCAGTCTGTGAGGCTGCCGTTGGAGGAGGAGGAGGAGGAGGAGGAGGAGGAGGAGGTAATGGAGAAAGTGGAGAACGAGGACGGGGCGGAGAGAGGATAAAGAGTGAGGTGAGAGGATGATGATGAGGAGGAGGAGGAGGAGGGGAGGAAAGGGGCGACGACGGCGACGGCGGCAGGCGTTCGCCATGAAGGCGTCTGCGGCGGCCCTTCTGCTCTAAGAGCCTCTCCGAAGCATCTTGGACGCCATCTCAGAGCGGTCCTGGGGCCATCTTGGGGCCACTCTGGGAGCTGTCGAAGCCCTCTTAGCGCCTCCTTGTGGGCCTTTTGGGGCCCTCTTGGGGCTTGTTTTCGGGCATTGGTCGAAGCATGGGGGGTCCTGGGATGCAACTCGTGGGAGGTCACATTCAGCACCGACGCTGATATATCGTTGATGGAGATCCAGTCTAAGCTAGCCGAATCCCGCTCAATCCTGCTTAGTTCGGCTTAGTCTTGTGCTAAATCCGATCAACATCGGTTCAGTAGCCTCATGATTGAACCTAGCAGCCAGTCGATCCAATGAATACCTCCCAGTAGTTGCCTCCTAGTCCTGGCCCCGTTCTTTTAGCTAACGGAGCAGTGGGCAGCATCTGTGGAGGATGAGGAGGGGGGAGGAGGCAGAGGGAGAGGAAGAGGAGGAGCAGGAGGAGGAGGAGGAGGAGCAGGAGGAGGCGGAGGAGGGGGAGGGGGAGGAGGAGGGGGTGGAGGAGGAGGAGGAGGAGGAGGAGGAGGAGGAGGAGGAGGAGGACGAGGAGGAGGAGGAGGAGGAGGAGGAGGAGGAATGGGCGGAGGAGGAGGAGGAGGAGGAGGAGGAGGAGGAGGAGGAGGAGGGTAGAGCACGAGGAGGAAAAACAAGAAGAGCACAAATACTAGTCAAAAGAAGAAGAAAAAGAGGAATGCGAAGGGAGAGGAATGAAGGGGCGCTGGGTAGCGTGGCTGCCAGAATCAGCTGCTGCGCGCGGCACTTCAGGCATTCGATGCTTCGTTTGCTGGTTGTTGCGCTGTGGAGGGGGTGCAATCGATTTTGGCTTCTCCGGGCCCGCCTGAAGGGCTTCTCGGAGCCTTCGTTGGCTGTATCTGTTGCCTCTTGCCGTTTGGGGGCTCTCTTGGCCCGTCTGACATCTTCGGATGTTGTCTTGGGGGCCTTTGTGGGTCGTCTTGGGGCCATCTTAAGGGGTTTCGGCCAGTTTGGGAGGCCTGTTGGGCCATCTCGGGCCCTCTTCGGGCAATGTTTTGGGCCTCTTCGGTCGTCTTGGGGGCATTTCGGCCTGTCTCGGAGGCCTTTGGAGCCGTCTTGGGCTGTCGGAAGCCCGAAAGGCGGGAATGCGATCACATGTGCAAAACTAATTTGACACCCTTTCTGTTGGCTTATTTAGGCCCGCCTGGGGAGCCCTCTTGGAGCCCTCTTTGACTTGGGCCGTCGTGGGGCAATTGGGGCTATCTTCGAGGCATCTTGGACCAGCTTGGAGGCATCCTGAGGCTATAGTGGGTCCCCTCAGTTGTCATGGCGCCGTATGGAAGTCAAACAGAGCGCCGAAAAGACAACCCCAGGGTGGGCCCCAGGGGGTCGGCTGTTCGAGCGACGCGTACGACTAGGGGCCGGGGGGGACCGGCCCTGGCTTGCAGCAGGAGACCCTCAACAGCTGCACGCTCTGGCGGGGAGAGGGGCATGTACGGAGACACCTGGAGTGATCATGGAGACAACATGGGACAACGGGAGACAGTCGGAGCGGGACACCGGGAGACAACGGGAGACAATCGGCGCCCCATCGATTCTAGGTCTGGCGATCCCTGTATTCAGCTTTTGAGAAGTATTGTAGAGGACCCTCACGGACAAGCTGGTTAGGGAAACGCAAGTGAGACCTTTTTTTCCAGACAGCATAGGAGCATGACCACATGCCCCAGCGTGCACACTGCACGGTGGCGAATATCCCCCTTTCCCCACCTTGCGCCCGATCTTGGACAGAGGCAGGGTTAGACTCGAGGAAGAGCATCTGCGTAAGCATAGACTTTCGGAGCTAAGCCTCGATTTCATGGATCGGCGCTGGGCCCCTTCGGCGCCAGGGATGGGGATCCAGCGTCGATCCAAGAAATCCGCACGGATCTCCGAACGTTCCTGTCTGTGTTGTTGTTTTTCTTCTGTTGGCGCCAACCCACGTCCGACCAGGTTGCACGCGTGCCGCAGGCCACGTGGGGAAGTTTTGGAAAGGAGCGTTGAAGAGCGAGGATGGGGGGGAGGACAGGGAGTCAGATGATTGAAAGGATGACATTTTGGGGGGCCCACGGGAGGGGCAGGACGAGCAATGGGAACGACGAGACTATACGAGAACACATGGCACGCATGCCCAAGATGTTCCTTGATGGGGGAGGCGAGTGTCTGAAGGTGGATCAGGGCGAGGGGCAGGGGGAGTCTTTTGGGTCATCCTTGTCCGTGGGGCCAAATGCCCTTCGCCCTGCTTTCACCCTCCGCTCCCTCCCCCTCCCTCCCTCCTTCCTCCCTCCCTCCTCCGTCCTTCCTTTCAACCTCCTGCGTCGTCCCTCCTCCCTACACTCCTCTGTCATCCTCCTTCCTCCTCGTCCCTCTCGCCTTTCTCCACATCGCCGCCCGCCTGCTGCTCGTTGCCACCCTCCTCGAGACGCAGCGCACACTCCTGCACACTGCATACAGCAGCGCCTCTCTATTTCGATCCGCTCCGCCAGAGGGCCGCCCAGAAGGCAGCGATGTGGACCGCGTGGCCGGTGGCGCTGCTCGGCCTCTGCGCGCCCGCCGCGTCCTTCCAGGTGCCGATGAGCTCCGACGAGGGGCCCTCCTTCGCGACCTTCGCCTTCGAGCACCCCCCCGACGTGCTCCACGGGGCCACCTCCGAATCGCTCTACGTCGAGGACAGCAGCGTGCCGGACCTCGCCGACGGGGCGAGCGCGACGCCCCAGCGCGCT